GGAGGGCCCTCCTGTGACTCCTGAGGAGGGGACAAGGGAGCCTTCTCTTTGACACCCTACATGCCAGCAAAGCCCTCTTGTCTACTCCACCCTAGAACTAGTTGCCCAGCTGTATTAAGAACTCTATCTCACACAACCTCCTCAGCTTGCACCTCCCCTCAATGGATAACAAGAATGCTCTTCAGTCAAACATTCAGAAGAAAATCTACAACCAACGAAGAGCTCTCCGTGCCCATGAGGAACACATTGGCAGTCCTAATAACTCACAGCTTGTTCACTCTCTCTGATGCGTACTCTGATCTTATTGCACATAAGATGCTTTACAAATGTCATCTGTCCAAAAACAGAAAGTGGTTGTGTGTTTCTTCATATGGGGGGTGGGAAGGGGTTGGAGCTTACGTACAGACTTTCAGCATTATGTTGAGAGGAGAGGGCAGGTAACCCCAAATCTAAAAATGAAGCATGTACTTGCTGGCCTTATGGCTAGGTGGAGATTTGGGGGAAATGGTGCATGGCACCACAAGAGCCGTTGGGTGGAGGGAGAGACTGTGGCTTACCAAGATTGTTCCTGGGTTTCAGGGTTTTAGAGGGACTTGTGGTGACCATATGGAGGTCAGAGCCAACCCTCACCCCCAGGACACTGGACCAGTGACTCCTGATGTTGGTAGTGTTTCTTTTAGCTGCCCTGTCTTGGGCTCTTCGGGTACTCTCCAGGGTCCTGAACTGCTCTTTGGGGAATGGGCAGACCTCAACCTCAACATGGCTTTCTTTAGTCCAGGGCTGGGAGTGGTCTTTACTTCAGCCTTTAGAACGTCCGGCCCATGGTGCATATAAGGCCTATGAAATCATTTGGTCTGGTCCTGCCAAGGCAATGGTAGTTTCAGCTATCACATTGTTGTTGTTAAGTGCTGTCAAGTTGGTTCCAACCCATAGAGACCCTGTATAGAGTTTCCAAGGAGAAGCTGGTGAACTTGAACCACCAACCTTGCAGTTCAAACAGCTTTGTAGTCTGGTGTATTAACCCACAACGCTACACCAGCATTCCAGCTATCATATTGTTGTTGTTGTTAAGTGCCATTGAGTCAGTTCCGACCCATAGCGATCCTGTATAGGGTTTCCGAGGAGCAGCTGGTGAGCTTGAACTGCTGACCTTGCAGTTCAAACAGATTTGCAGTCTGGCGCATTAACCCACAGCACCACACCAGGACTCCTTACAGGTGAGTTAATTAAATATTTGGTCAAATATAGCAGGCTAATTTTTAAGTTGATCATTTTATATGGCCTATGAATGATGTTATCAATTCTGGCAGAAAAAAAGGTTTCCCACCCCAGCTTTAGAGGTACAGTGTGTAGACAAGCAGTTTCCTTTGCAGAAAAATTAGAGACACCAGGCATTTGGCCAGGGTGAGAGCGCAGTATACTTCATTACAATGCAGGCCTTGTTAAGAAGTGACTATTTATGGACAGGGTCAATTCACTCTGCCCAGGGAACTGCCCTGTATGGGAGCATAAACTTGGTAGAGAAATCAGAAACTCCATATCAATTCTGTTACTAGTTTTCCAAGACTCTCTAGTAGCATAGTGGTTACGAATCGGGCTGCTAACTTCAAAGTCGAAACTCCCAGCTGTTCTGTGGGAGAAAGATGAGGCTTTCTGCTCCCATAAAGATTTACAGCCTCGGAAACCCTGTACAGGGTCGCTATGGGTCGGAACCAACTCCACGGCACAGCACCGCCACCAGTTTTCCCAAAAGACAAATTTTCTTTCCAAATATGTCAGTTACAGTCATGTGGGCTTAGTGAACAAAGATGACCAAGAGGTCAGGAGACTGTCCCAGACTCTGTTCTACAAGAACTCCCTCACCCAGCTTCTGCCAAGGGCTCTGGCCAGCTTTACAGTAGGCCAACTTTTAAAATGACCTGTGTTTATTTCCTAAGTCTACCATAACACGAATTTGGTGGCTTCTAACAGAAATGTATTATTTTGCAATTCTAGTTTTTGTTGTTGTTAAATGCTGTCAAGTTGGTTCTGACTCATAATGATCCTGTATAGGGTTTCCGAGGAGTGGCTGGTGGGTTTGAACCATTGACCTTGTAGTTAGCAGTCCAGTGCTTATTCTGTAGCACCACAGAGAAGTCCAAATTCAGTTTGTTAGCAGAGCCATGCTCTCTGACCATCAGGGGACAATCCATCCTTGTCTCTGTCCACTCCTGGTAACCATGGGCTTTCTTGGCATTCCTTGGCTTGTCGATCAACCTTCACATGTCTGTCTTCCCCTAGTATGTCTGTCTGCTGTCCTCTTTTATAAGGACAACATTCAGATGGCTTAACACCCACCCTCTATCCTGATCCCGTGCTACTTGAACTGCTAACATTTTCAAAGACACAAGTCCTGATGTGGTGCCCTAGGATAAGCATTTGACCTCAAGGTCTGTTAGAACTGCAAGGTCGGTGGTTCAAACTCACCAGTCACCCCTTGGAACACTATACAGGGTTGCTGTGAGTCAGAACCAACTCGACGGCACTTAACAACAACAATATTCCTAACAAGATGGCTTTCACAGATACTAGTAGACCTGGTGTGGCACTGTAGGTTAATGCGCCAGACAGCAAAGCCATTTGAACTGCAAGGTTGGTGGCTCAGGCTCACCTGCTGCTCCTCAGAAACCCTATACAGGGCCGCTGTGGGTCAGAACTGACTTGATGGCACTTAACAAGAACAACAGGGGTTACTTCAAACTCACCAGCTGCTTCTCAGAAACCCCTACAAGGGTTGCTAGGAGTTGGAGCTGACTTGATGATACTTAACAACAACAGGGGTTCGAACCGCAACATATCTTTTTTTGGGGGGTACAATTCAATCCAGAGGTCTAGGAGTCTTTCTGTCAGGACTCACAGCCCACCATCCTCCAAGACAGAAGGACGGCCTCTTCCAACTTCACCAACTCATCGAGTGCCTTTTTAAGTGGCTCCTTGGTCCCACTTTTGCCAAATTGGGCATGAGTTATTTGCTCCAGCAAAGGAATATAAATAAGCACCATGACTCCGTGACAAGTTGACAGAATTGACAAGCAGAGTAAATTTCTGTACCTAAGACTCAGAGGAGGAGAGGTGATGTAACAGAGCCAGCTGCCATCTCCAAAAAAAAAATGATAATTAAGGAAACCCAACAGTGTAAAAGAAAACGGAGCTGTGGAGTGGGTCCCTTCTGGTGAAGGGATCTGTAATCATCGACTGCAGGAGAAATCCCCTGTGCGCCGAAGAGAAAATAAGTTCAGCCAACAGCGCTGGGAACCGCGCAGTGAAGATGAGATGAGACCAAGGAGGGGCTGCCTGTCCATGAGAGAAACCAGCTCTGGGGTTGAGAGGGACCCTAGGGGTGCGGCCAGCTTTACTAGAGTTCCCCTTCATTCTCTGGGGAGGAGCATGTTTCAAGGCTCTCTCATACACACACATGCATGTAAGCTTGGGGATGCCCAGGGAGATGTGGACCAAGGAAGGTCACAGCCCTGTTGCCAAGCCAAAATGGCATTTGGGCAGAAGAAATATGCATCTTGCCCTGAGTTATGAAGTCTGGGTAGTTCAGATCTCCTTTCAGAACCATCTCTCTTGGGACTCAATTAAGGTCCTCAAAATCCCAGGCAATAATAACCCTTCCCATCCCAGGGCTGACCTCATGCACTCTCCTTGCATACTAATGAACAAAAGCAGCTGTATGCACCCATCCTGGACTTCACAGAGAAGCTGGGGTCTTGAGTGCAGGGATTGGTGGGGGGGATCTGGATGCTGATCACCAGCAGACCTCCAGGTCCATCTCACTGTGCTGTGTCCTGCAGCAACTACTGGCCCTCTGCTGAGTATCCAGAGATATCAGGTCAAGTGGTGGGACTCTCCAGTCTGGTCCTCAACCCCAGTCAGTAGCCAGGACTTGGTCTGATGTGATGGGAATGGTGTCCCATTATACCAGTTGGTTCTGGTTGTGACTGTGGCTCTTGGCAAAGCCTCAGAACAGAAATGCTCACCGCGTGGCACAGGGGAAGGAAAAGCCTGATACTTGGATGACCAGACAGGGGCTGGGGAAGAGTCCCATACTCCTAAGTAGGTCTCCCCAAGGGGAAGCACCTTCTTCTCTCAGCTCCATCTCCCAAAATAGATCAAACAAGGTCTAAAGCAGAATCCTCTCCTTGAGTCAAAGACTTGCCTCACCAGAGTTTGTCATTCTGGGGGTCCCCGGCCCCAGCCAAGGCAAGGGACCTCCTTATGTGGGATGGTCCATGGTGTGCTAGTCTCTCTCCATCTTCCCACTCAGCCAGGAAGTGAGTGCTGGACACTCACTCGATGCCTGGACCCTGCTCAGTCCTTTGGAGGATGAGCAAAATGTGTCTAACTCAATCCCTGGAGCCCCAATGCTGGCTGAAAAGGCCCAAATCCTAAAGTGAATGCCTTGGTTAGGGGGCTTCCTGGAGCAAGGGGTAAATCCCTGGTCAGAGGGGAAGGAGTGCATTCCACTCCCAGGAGTGGGTGTATCATTGCAGGGGCAAGGAGTCTACGAGATGTATTAGACCAGGCATTACAGGGGTCTGGAGCAATGATAACAGCTTTCGGAAGATCCCTTGCCCTTGTGGCTCAGAGACTCTGGAAAGGGAATATACGAGGTTCTGATGACTCCACTGGACATTGGGTAGGCACACCTGGACAAGGTCTGCCCCTCCACACCTTCCAGGTCACTTCAAAAAGTAAGGCACTAAGAAGATAAGCATCAGACCAGAACCAGTTGAGCTGTCCCATTGCTCCATCCCCAAGGGACTGTGGCACAGAGTGACACTAACATGTGACCTGTGGACCCCTTCTCCCCCAAGAACTGCCTTTTCACAGAGCCCACCCAAGCTCCATTCCAGGCTAGACCCTCCCAGAGAAGCACCCTTGGTAGACTTTCAGCAGGTCCCTGGGAGGCCCATGGTTCTTCCACCTGCTAACCCTCTCCCGTGTTTGCTTTTTAGGAATGAAGTTCAATGTCTGGCTGCAGCAGCCCCACAAAGTAAGTTCTGAGAGTCCAATCAATCTCTGCACCGCGCAGAGGACATTGGGGAGGGCAGGGGAGCACATTTGGAGCTCAAGTTGAATTCATTCTTGGAAAGAAAAATGTGTCCATCCCATCCCAGGAGTTTTAGGAATAAAGCTTGAGGCTTTGGATCTATGAATTTCCCTTTCTTGTTAGATGACTGCTCTGGGCGGTGCTAATAGATGCAGTAAATCTGAACCAGCCTGCAGCAAGCCAACAGCTCCAGCTTTCACATTCAACAGGCAGAGGTTCCTGGGAGGCCTGCGCCATCTTGTGGCCAAAATGATACTTGCACCTCAGACGCCACACTTGGCAAGACCATGGGCAATTGAGGACAGCCCTGAGCTGTTCAGATGGCCAGTGACAGAGGCGGGGGCACCCGGGGAGGGATGAGTCTGTTCTCAGCTTGTCTCCTTCTTCCTTACCAAGGAAGGAACTCAGGCCCCTGAGGAGGAAGGGATTCTGGCATGGCAAGGGTCTGGCCTGTGTGACCATGTCCAGCTGTCCTACCCACCCTGCTAAGCATTTCTGTTCTTGTCCCAGGACTTCCCACCAGGCAGTTCCCAGGATGGTGACTTGAAGGCGCCTACAGAGAGGAGCACCCGAGACTGGTCTAGTCTGGCGCCCAGAGTCCTTAACCCCCAGCGGGACCGTGTGGGGCCTCTGGGGCCTGACCAGCCAGGACCTCACCTAAAGACCAGGGCTCACCTGCGGCTCCAGCAGCGGCGGCGCCGGCTGCTCATCAAGAAAATGCCAGCTGCAGCAGCCATCCCAGCCAACAACTCAGCCAGCACCCTGGTCCAGCCAGGCCCCTGGGCCCTGAGTGGCCGCTGGGTCAGCCTGCAACAGAGCCAGCAGGAGCGCAAGAGGGTGATGCGAGAGGCGTGTGCCAAGTACCGGGTGAGCAGCAGCCGCCGAGCGGTCACACCCCGTCACGTGTCCCGGATCTTTGTGGAGGACCGTTACCGGGTGCTCTACTGTGAGGTGCCCAAGGCTGGCTGCTCCAACTGGAAGCGAGTGCTCATGGTGCTGGCGGGGCTGGCCTCGTCCACCACGGACATCCAGCACAACACCGTGCACTACAGCAGCGCCCTGAAGCGTCTGGATACCTTCGACCGCCAGGGCATTCTGCACCGTCTTAGCACCTACACCAAGATGCTGTTTGTGCGTGAGCCCTTCGAGAGACTGGTTTCTGCCTTCCGAGACAAGTTCGAACACCCCAATAGCTACTACCACCCTGTCTTCGGCAAGGCCATCCTGGCCCGGTACCGGGCCAACGCCTCGCGGGAGGCACTGCGGACAGGCTCTGGTGTGAGGTTCCCCGAGTTTGTCCAGTACCTGCTGGACGTGCACCGGCCTGTGGGCATGGACATCCACTGGGACCACGTCAGCCGGCTCTGCAGCCCCTGCCTCATCGATTATGACTTTGTGGGCAAGTTTGAAAGCATGGAGGACGATGCCAACTTCTTCCTCAGCCTGATCCATGCCCCACAGAACCTGACCTTCCCCCGGTTCAAGGACCGTCACTCTCAGGAGGCACGGACCACGGCGAGGATCACCCACCAGTACTTCGCTCAGCTCTCGACCCTGCAGCGGCAGCGCGCTTATGACTTCTACTACATGGATTACCTAATGTTCAACTACTCCAAGCCCTTTGCAGACCTGTACTGAGGGCTAGCCTGCCTGCTCCCCTCACTTTCCGCAGGGTTTCCACAGGGCAGCCCGCTGTCCCAGCTCCAGGGGCCCGCAGTCCAGGAGCAGAGGTGTTTTCTGAGCAACAGGGCTCTGTGGGGGGAGGAGTCATATGAGGGGGAAACAGGGCCTTGGATGGGGAACCTGGTTCTTGTCCCTGGCTCCCTCCCTTCCTCCATGGCTGAGGGGGTCAGCTGGACACCCCAGGAGTTCAGCCAAGAGTCACATTGACCAGGAAGGCCTGAGGATTCGGTCTCAGCAGTCCCTGAACCCACTGCCTTGTACCAAACCACACGGTTTGCGCTTTTCTATAACCCAGGGGAGGCTCCCTTGGGATGAGGTTCCAAATAAAGCACATGGTTTCCAGAGCAGCTGTGTCTGCACTGTGTTGGTGTGGAGGCACCTGACTCTTCCCCTCTCCAGGCTCTGCTGTGAGGAAGCCCAGGGTGGGTGGCCCTGTGTGTGAGGTGGGCAGAGGACTAGTGGCTCCCATTCAGGGACCAGCAGCAGGCCCACCTCACACCTAGGCTGTCTGAAGCCTGGGCTCAGTCATCTGGTCCCTTCTGTCTCATTCATTCTCCAAGGACAGACAGACTTGTCCACACAGAGGCCTGCTGAGGGCCCTTCCTGTCAGTGTGATGTGTGAGAACTCGGAGGGTTGTCAGAATAGTGGGCAAGTCACCAATAGACATCACCAGGGTCAGTGGAGCATTAGCCAGGGGTCAGTAAGGCACTACCCAGGAGTCAGTGGGGCACTACCCAGGGGTCAGTGGAACATTACCCAGGGGTCAGTGAGGTATTACCCAGGGGTCAGCGGGGCACTACCCAGGGGTCAGCAAGACACTACCCAGGGGTCAGTGGCATGGTGTTTTCAGACAGGAAGTGAACCTCTGGAATAACCAAGGCCCTGACCCCAAATTCTCATCCTCAGACCCCTTGACCTTAGCCCCAGACTTCATTTACCCAATAAACCACTTGCAACCTCCCCGGAAAAGAAGCTACGAAGGATATTTCTCCGCTCAAAGTACTCATTTTCACTCAGAGAAATGGCTCTGAGTCTGTCGAAGCCCTGGGCAGTTCCCGAATGATCTCTGGGGAAGTGTCTGGTGGAGTTCTCAGTGGGTGTGACTATGGCTCTGCTTGGGTCTTGTGTGAATGGAAACTACTGCCTCTTCGGGGGGGGGGGGGGGGAGCGGGGGGGGGGGGGGGGGGGGAGGGTCTGTCCACCTGCTTCTGTGTCTGTGTGTCTGCTGTCTACCCTTCTGAATCCGTCCTTGGGTCTGTCCACAGGTTTGTGCCAGGAGATTGTTCTGTCCGTCCTGGTAAGGGGTGGGGCTGCTGGTTTCTGAGGTGGGTCAGAACCAGGTCGGACTCAGACCTGCATGAACTGCTCCACCTCCCTCAGCCTCCACCACAATCTCTGGAGACTTAAAGAGAAAACGAGGAGCTAGAAGAGCCTCCTACCTGCTTGGGGGCACATGCACCCAGGACCCCTGAGTGGGTCTGAGCTTCTCCTTGGGTTCCCTGGGCCATCTGACAGAAGGAACCCAACCAGAGGGAGGAGGTGTGGAGGCCAGGAGAGCCAGAGAGGCCTACCCACCTCAGTGATGGGATGCAGGAGGGGCTAGGACACGACACCCCAGAAACAGCTGCCCTGGGCTCTGGTGCTCCCAGATTGAGTCCACAGTGCCGAGAAAGCATCTCTAGCCACCAACTTGTGGTGCATCCTGAGGTAGTATGTCACACACAGGGTCATCTGTTCGGCCTCAGACGCCTGGGAGCTCAGCTGGGACTGCCTCCAGGGGACAGCTGTCTCCAAGCAGCAGCCTGGGGACAATCAAGACTGTCCTGGGGCACCAGCCCCACAGTGTTGTGAGTGTGTGAGAGCAAGTGGGCATGAGTGTATATGTGTGATGCATGTTGAGGGAGGTAGCAAAAGACAGACATCTTCACTGGTATCACGTCTTCAGAGACTGCATGCAGGACCTGGCATCTCTTCAGAGACAGCTGGATCTGAGTTGGAAGATTCCCCAGGATGGATTTCCATTTTGGGTGGCGATGGCAGAGATGGGGTCAGGGCCTCGCAGCTCAAGAATTTGGTAACAAGGGTGCAAGGAGGCCATCTTGGGTCCTCGGCTCCCTGACTCTGGGATGTGACCGTTGATGTGATTTGGATAAGTCAGTATCCCTCCCTGACAGAAACCATTCAAAAGGCCTCATGACACTTTTATTTCAGTTCACTGCTTGTCCTGGGTCACTGTATACAGGTGTGTTTCTTACTGTACAATCGTCTGCAGACCTGCCTGAATATGAGTGGATTGAGGGTTAGGGATCAAGGGGCCGAGCAGAAAGGTAGGCATGCTCCAATCTCCACCTCCATTCAGCCCCCTCCCCTAAGCCACCCTGAATGTCAATACAGACTTCCCTCTGAAAGAGTCTTCAAGGAAATAACGGAGGTCAGCACTCTGAGGTCAGCACTAAATGGACTCCTGGTGGGACACTGTAGGATAAACACTGGACTGCTAACTACAAACTTGCTGATTCAAACCTACCAGCTGCTCCTAGGAAGCCCTATACAGGGTCTTTTTGAGTTGGAGCCAACTGGAAGTCACTTCACAGCAAACACAACATCAACCAGTGGTCCCAGTATGACCTCCAACTGCAAGAGTAGACATAATTCCAAAGCCTAACCCTGAAACTATTCCAGCCACAAGCCTCATCCAACCCTAGTGCTTAGGGGAAGTGGACCCATGGGCTAAACTGCCAACACAGGAGTCTGTGTGTGTGTATGTGTGTCCATGTGTTTGCTGGTGTCTGAGCTTGTGGGAATAAGCACATGCGGGTGTGTGAGCCTATGTATGTGTTTGTGTATCTAGTGAGTATTTGTGTGTGTTTACATATGTGTAGATTTGTGTGTCAGTGTGTACGGGAGGGTGGGTATTACAGACAGGAGTCAAGTAGGCCACGGAGTTGAAAGAATAACCGTCCAACCTCTATGCCCTACCCCTAGCTTGGTCTCTGAAATGGGGGCCTTTCAAGGGCAGCCCCCAGCAAAGTCCCAGCCCAGGTCTTTGCCCTAGGAGTGATTAGGGCTTTCTGAGTGGCCACAAGGACATCATGCCCCCAAACCTAGCGTCCCTCCTGTGTCCTGTGAGTCCCTGAAGCCCTGTTGTTGTTAGGTGCTGTTGAGTTGGTTCCAACTCACAGCAATCTTATGCACAGCAGAACAAAACTCTGCCTGGTCCGACGCCATCCTCACAATTGCTGTTTCCCCTCAGTCCATTGCTGCTGCCACTGTGCCTAGACATCTCATTGAGGGTCTTCCTGGTTTTTGCTGACCCTCCAATTTACCAAGCATGATGTCCTGCTCCAGAGACTGGTCCCTCCTGATACTATGTCCAAAGTATGAAAGATGAAGTCTCATCATCTTGGCTTCTGAAGAGCATTCTAACTATACTTCTTCCAACAGAGCTTTATTAATTCTTCTGGAAGTCCATGGTACTTTAAATATTCTTCTTCTGCACCATAACTCAAATACATAAATTCTTCTATGGTATTCCTTATTCATTGTCCAACTTTTCCATGTGTATGACGGTATTGAAATTAGGGCTGGGTCAGGCACACCTTAGTCCTCAAGCTGGTATCTTTGTTCTTAAACCACCTGCAGCCCTAGAGAAATGAGGTGTGTGTCCTGCAGGTGTGGTCAGGTGAAGGATTCAGACACCTCTGGTTCTGAGACACAAAAAAATCCTCCCTCTCTCCACTGCCCTGGGTCTAGGACCCACTCCAAGGAGCCTAAGACAGGCAGGTGGGTGATGAAGGGATGGGCCTTTGACCGTTTACTCTCCTCTGTCAGGCCGGGCCTATTGGCTCACTTTGTCCTTAAGGGTGGGCTTTCTTGGTGAGGGGCTGGGAGCCCCAGAAGAGCCCATGGCCCTAAGGCATTGAGATGGCTTCCTATCACCTCCCCCGGCCTCCATCACCATCTCATCCTGGTCTTTTACTCTCAAGGGGATGCTCATGGCCAATGGAGAGAGTTTCGTCCTAATGGCCCCCATCCCCACAGTGCAATGGAATTCGGAGCTAAGAATAGAGCAGGTGATCTGTCCAGGGCTCTGAGGGCCTGTGGTGAAGCATCAGTGACCTCCTGGGTATGAGGTTGTTGCTGTTATGTACCGTCGAGTCGGTTCTGAACCATAGCGACCCTGAACAGGGTTTCCGAGGCTGTAAATCTTTACGGGAGCAGAAAGCCTCATCTTTCACCCGCGGAGCAGCTGGTAGTTTTGAACTGCTGACCTTGCAGTTTGCAGCCCGATTCGTAACCGCTATGCTACCCCAGCTCCTTTGGGTATGGGGAGGAGACAGTATCTCCAGTCCAGTGGCTATGACTAGAGGACACTAGGCCAGGGTGGGGGTTGGGGCAGGGAGACACGAGAGTCCTGAACTCTGGTCCCACTCTCTCTCCTGGCTCTTCACATTGCCAGAACAGCAGAAGGTAGGTAGCCAGGGTCTAGACCATACTGGAGCCACTCGGAAACAGATACTCCTGTCCCCTCCCCCACACCTGAGCCTCTTTAAATCCGGGGTGGGGAGAGTGGACTTGGAACCTGAGACAAGGGTCAGGGGTCAGAGGTCAGAGTGAGTCCTTCTTAACCATAAGGCCTAGAGGGACCTGCCCTGTTGTCTGGGGTTGCCAGCCCTGATGCTCAAAGTGTCCTGCTGCTATGCTAAGTAAGCCTGATCCATGCGTGCCGCCCCCACTTTGCAGGTGAGGAGTTGGAGCTGGCACCCTACCCCAGATAATCTGGCTGGGCCCCCCTCGATCCTGTGCCAGTCGTCCTGATATCCCCACCTCCAGGATCTGTGCCACCGATGGTGGGGGGGAGCAGGCCCATACATAAGTGGGCAGGTCTCCACAGGCGCCGAGGCTGCCTTTGACCACCAGGTGGCGCCAAATGCTTGCTCCTCAATAGCGGCTC